CATGCGAGTGCCTGAATGAGGCTGAGAGTGGCGAGCTCTTTCCTTTATGGAAAGAGCCTGTCTGCTTCGCAGCCTGGCTGGGTTGGGCCTGGGCCCAGAAGCTTCCGGTAGGCCCCAGGATGCTGCGTGCTATTTTGCAGCTACTGGGCCGCTTTCGGTTGGGCCTCCCAACTGTCAGTGTATGAGGCTGCGTTTCTCGCCCAGGGCCTACATTCTTCGGAAAGGCCCAGAAAGCCGTGGAAATGTCTTGGTTGCTCGGCCTGTGTTTCTCTCAACCAACTGGCGTGTCGCAACTGCCTGTACCCCAAATATGAAATTGACAGTCAAAGGCCTCTTGTGATATGTTAGGCCCGCCTTCACTTAGGGCGGGCACCACTGCAACCGGGGCCCCTTAGGCCTGCCGAGGACCCAGATCCTCGCAACAGCACCATGGACCCAAGTCTGCTGCTGACTTCCACTGCTGAATCCTCTCCCTCTCAGCCACTGGCTGCTGACTACCACTGGTGAATCCCTCTCCCTCTCGGCCGCTGCTGGCAAGCCAGCCATTCAGAACTTCAACAAGCCCATCAAAGTTCTTCAGACCCATCCAGCTTCAAACTCCAAAGTTAAAACATCAAACGTCAACCCCATCCTCTCTCATTTTATGATGGAGCACCTTCAGTTGAAGTTAAAAAAGTCCTGAATGTCCAGAGTGAAAGAACCCAGAACAAGGAGAGGAACCTGACGTCAACAGAAAAGAAGGAAGATGTTACGATCCTGGTCATTCCCAAAGTACAAATTCACAATGAAAGGCTATGCCACCCAACTGCGAAAGAAATGAAAGCACTTGCAAGGAGATAGAGACCAAAGAAGAGAGAAAGAAGAAGAAGAAGAAGAAGTACACCAGCAAGACCAATAACAAATCCCCCTTCTCTCTCCACCTTCCTCCCGCCAATCTTATTCTTCTTCCAAATAATAATGTTAACAATGAGTGGATGAACCACAATCAATATCCGGAGTTCCCTCTTACTACTAGCACAACAGTAGGTCCACCATAGCCATGGCGTCCCCCTTCTTCCTCATCTCACATGCCAAGGCGATGGCGGACTACTAGGGGCTCTGCCCTCTTGTGCAAAGGACAACACAAAGCAGTTATGCCGCTGCTCATCAGGACGCCATGCCTGACTCTGCCTCGAGCTTCCTTGGTGCGGCACTACCCCAACTGGGGCCTTCGAGTGCAGTGCCTATCAAGGTGATGAAGATAATGTCCCCCAGAGCCAGGTAGGTACCTCGCCACTCTCCTCCTTCGCCCCCTTCTTCCTCCTCTCAGGCTGGGCTGCTCGCCATAGCCAGGCTGAGTGCCCAGCTGCTCTCTTCCCCCCAGGCAGCACTCCAAGTCCAGCGCTTGGCTCCAGCAGTATGTCATCAATCCTTGCACACCGCAAATGAGGAGCTACTTGCTCCTTCCAAAGATATAGCGGCCTACTTGCCTCTTGGGCAGTAACTTCCTAGGCTGCGGGGCCTCCCAGCAACCGGTACCTCCTCCCTTTCGGAGGGAAACATCATTGCAGGCCCTGATATCGTCCGTACAGGCACTAGACTCAGGCTACTTACTGGTACCGGCCTACCTCTAGCCTACCGCTACTGGGCCTCTAAACGTGTCAACTAGTTCTCTTCTTCTGCTCAGCCTTGAGTACCCCATACTTCTACCATTACTTGAGGGGTACCGGCCTACCTGCTACTTGAGTGTTTTTCCCGCTGCTCTAAGTGTCGTGGGCCTAACCCCGCTACTTGAGTGTTTTTCCCGCTGCAACCCTCAAAGTCACGGCCACAGGTAAGTACCGGCCCTGCAGGGCCCCCAAACCAACGAGTACCCTTGCGGGTCACACACACACTCAGGCCGACAAGCACTCAGACAGGCACGCAAACCAGCAGGCACACACACACACACACTCAGAAATCACAGCAGAATGCAGGAATCTCAGCAAAGCATACATTCCAGCAGCAAATCCCAGAAATCACCAGTGTCCTCAGTCTGTGTTTTAACGGGTCAGTACAAACAGCTTCTTGACAGGCAGGAAAGGGAGCAGTACATGTCGCAACGCAACCCACCTTGACAAGCCCGTCACTGCCTGGAACAGTGGGCACGCCTGCTCTCTTCATGGTGTCTCTCGCTGTCGCTTTGTCGCCCATGATGCGGATGCTCTCAGGCTGAAAATAAAGCGCAGAGGAGGGCCAGCCAAAAGGCCAAAGTGTTGCATACTCGTGAAACACAGTCATAAGTATGGCGCCGATTCCCAGAACCGACCAGATAATACAGAGCTAATACAAATACAGCGGAAGAGTTGATACCCATGGACTGACTCTGACCTGACTCAGACTGCAATCGAACACTCTCAATCATGCAGCAGTGGTGTGAAGGCCCTGGCGTTGACATAGAAGAAAGGCCAGGGTCTGAGATCATACACGGACGAATGGAGGGAGGAGAGACGAAGGGAGGAGGAGAGGGAAGATGACGTCAACTTAATGTTTCCAAAGATAGTATCTTGAAATGTCAGAGGTAGCGAAAATCCGAAATGTCGCGAACACAGTGCCTCACAATGTCTCAGATATCGATCTCACAATGTCAAGTACATCTTCAGAGGAAGATGAAATCAGATCCCACAAGAGAAGGACAACACCACCAACCCATCTCTACGTAGAGAAAAAGTGGTGTTGTAAAATCCATCTCCATGTATGGTACACAGCATTGTAAGTGTTGATAAAAAGATCACCAGTTGGAATCCTGATAAATATGCAATAAAAGGGTGGCTGGCTCCTTAGAACAAAAACAAAAAGGAAAAAAACACAAAATTGCAAAGACACATTCCGAGAGAAAGAAACGGTCAAGACCGATCCAGCATGAGAACGGAGAACATAAGATACACCCAGAATCACACTCCGTTGCGCACACTCGAGCAAAGAAAAATGAACTCGAACTTCTCATTCCACAAAAATGTTATAGCCCCATTCACGCGGCCATTCCCTTAACTTTTCGTCCACCCCGCTAGTAGACTCATCAGGAGGATGTAATCAATCCCCTACCGAATCTCCGTTCGAGATCCACAATGCTACTACGGAGGCCATTCCATAGTATCCGAAGAAGGCAAGCAGGGAGGCAGGCAGAGTATCCCTGATATAAACAGCAGGCATGCAGCAGTATTGAAGGTACAGTAGAGCAGAACCTCAAGAACGCAGGCAAGTGGGCATGCAGGGTCTGCATAACTTGAACACAGAGCATGTAGCAGAGGATCAAGGGTAGAGAAGAGTAGAGTCTGAAGAAAGATGACGTGAAGGTAACCTGCCTGCAGATTTTGGAACTCACCCTAGGACCGATGAAGTTGAGGCCATGGTCCCTGCAGATGTCCACAAAGGTCGCATTCTCAGCCAAAAAGCCATAGCCCGGATGAACCATTGTGCAGCCATGGCTGATGGCAGCTGCAACGATGTTTGGAATATTCAAATACCTGCTCACAAGAAGGGACAAATGGGATGCAACGTTGTTACATTGTTATAATACTGGCCAATTTCGAAGTACACATTCATCAGAAAGTACAATGCCGTCCAATTGCAAAAAGAAATGAATGAACTTGAGAGGAGAGAGAGGGGGAAGAAGAAAATGCCATCTTCATCACCTTGGTGGGCAGTGCAGCAAGACGGCCCCAGCGGGGGTAGAGCTACACCAACAAGCTTCAAGGCATAGTCGGGCATGGCGGCCTGAGCTAGAGCAGCCATAGCTGCTTGAGTTGTCTTCTACACATCAGGGCAAAGCCCTAACAGTCCGCCATAGCCTAGGCCTTCGAGACGAGGAAGGAGAAGGGTGCTATGGCTATGGTGGACCTCATATTACACCTGCAGTAGAAGAGGGATTCGAACATTGATTCTGGTTCAGCCATTCAACATTATTATTATTATTTCTTGATTGATAAGAGGGGAGGAGATAAGGAGGAGGACAGTGGTTGGCGAAGAAGAAGAGCATCATCATTGGTGTATGCTGGTGTACATCATCTTCTTCTTTCTTTCTTCTTCTTCTTCTGCCACATCTGATGAGTTTGTGATGGTGGTCGGGCTGCACTTTCTTGAGAAGGCTGGACTTAAGAGATTGGTAGTTCCATCTAGAGAAGATTTGCGTAGTTTATTTTTAGGTGAAGACTTCCCACGGACCATACTAGAGAGGGAGAAGTTTGCGTGACACCCCCTCTTCTTCCGAAAATTCAGACATCTTGACCCAGGCATAACTTCCCACTTCGATATCCGAAGGTTTGCATTTCTTATTTGCGTGGGGGATCATGGCGTGTCGTCGCTTGGTCATTGCTGCAATGGCAAACCTCGAGCAAGCAATCATACTTCGCGCTGAAGCCAGGCCTGCCAAGTGTTAGACCGGCCAACTGTTCAGGGAATAAGTATGAGAGCGGATTACGAATCTCCCAGCCGTAATGCAGCCTATTTGGCATCATGCCGGTGGAAGAATGGATGGAGTTGTTGTACAACCGCTTAACCGAATACAGCTCTCCGTCCCACGTTCCATGATCCGGAATGATTAACGCACAGAGAAGTTGAAACATAGTCTGATTAATCTCCTCAGCCAAGCCGTTGGCTTCGGGATGTCAACCGGATGTCATGCTTAGTTTGAGGCCAGGGAGTTGGGACGTGAAGTACTTTCATTCAATGCTTATGAAGCGCAGGTCCCGATCACCCACACAGGTTTTCAGGATCCCGAACTGCAGAATGTATTTCTGGTGGAACTCACACATCACAAGTTCAGCTGGGGCATGTGGTGGCAATTGGATCAGATTCAAAATTTTGGAAAATCAATCAACAATCACCGTCAATTGTGAAAACTCGTTCTTACTTACCTTTTTCTCCCACGTCTCTGAAGTCGATAGAGACGGAATCTCCGTCACCATTGGGAATGGGAAGCGGTTGGAGTACCCCTATGGGCTTTTGTCTGGATGGTTTGATTCGTTGACGGACTTGACACTCATCCACAAACCTTTCAACAGATCCTTTCATACCAGACCAGTCAAATTGTTGTAATAGGTTTCCGTAGGTTTTTGCCACGCCGAAATGTCCACTCCTACCGTGAGCCAAGTCAAAGAAGTGTGTGCGGAGAGGCTTATGGTTGGGTAAACACAATCAGTCATGATTGTCGTAGCATCGGAAAACCAGACCTTCGCATTCGTGAAAATCAGGCTGACCGTTGGGGTCAGCTTGCAACTGCTCAAGGATTGGACTGAGGTCCGGATACTTAACTTTGCTCCACTAGTTCCACCTTCAGTTTCTTCCAAAGGTCATAGGAGTTTACAAGGCAAGTCATTTACTCAAGGTGGCGAGACAATGCATCATCAACTCGGTTATAACAACCCTTTTTGTGTTTCGGTTCACAAAAAAAAATGTCAATTTCATGGAACCAGCGAGTCACGAGGGGAACAGGGTAGTTTGCTCCTTGATCCATTTCAAGGTCTCATGGCCTAAGAAGACCTTGAAACGGCGTCCCAAAAGATATTGCTTCCAGTGGTTCAATGCTTCGCGCAGAGCATAGAGTTCGCACATGTAAGTGGAAGTGGCTACCTTTTCGTTGGGCATGCATTTGCTATAGTCTTCGAGTGGACGCAAGCCATCACCATCATCTTGTTGTAGCACTATGCCAATCCCATACTGGCTTGCATCCATTGTGACTATGAATGTAAGTTTGAAATCTGCAATGCGGAGCACAAAATAACTTACCAAGGCCTCTTTCAAGTCTTGAAAAGCGGTCTCACATGTTACATCCCACGTGTAAGATACATTTTTACTTGTTAGTTTGGACAGCGGGTGAGCAACAATAGAAAATCAGGGCACAAACTTCCAATAGTATGATGCAAGACCAAGAAAAGAATGCAATTCGTGAATGTTTGCAGGTTGAGGCCACTTGCGTGTGACCTCAACCTTGGTTGCCTCAGGCTCAAGGCCTGTAGTAGACAATTGGCGCCCAAGATAGATGACGTTGTTCATCCCGAACTCGGATTTCTCTAAATCGAGATAGAGCTGCGTTTTCTTGAGGATGTGAACACTTCCTCAAGGTGCCTCATGTGTTCCTCGATCGATTTGCTGAAAATCAGAATATCATCCAAATACACAACCACAAATCGACCAATCTATTCGCGAGGACCTTGTCCATGAGACTTTGAAAGGTGGCTGGTGCGTTCGTGAGACCAAAGGGCATTACGCTGAATTCGTAAAGCCCATCGCATGTCTTGAAAGCAGTCTTGTGTTGGTCTGAAGGATCAACTTCAATGTGGCGGTAGCCAGACTTGCAACATCAAGCAAATCATCTATGCGTGGTAATGGGTATACATTCTTCTTCATGATGCATTTAGGCCGAGATAATCAATACACATACGGTGCTTGCCTCCTTTCTTTGGGACAAACAAAACAAGTGCACCAAATTTAGATTTGCTAGGCTTAATCTATCCCTTGTCGATCATCTCATCAATTTGTTTTTGGAGTTCAACTCGTTGGATCCCATAAAGTACATGTAGCCCCTTGGAGGAATTACGCCTTCAACCAGCGATCGCGTGGGGACTCCACGCGGTTCGGGCATAATGTCCTGAAATTGGTCGAGTAAGCTTTGGATGTTTGTAGGGACCAACGGGGGTGGGGAATCGACAAAAGAATCACCTACATCAGGTCACATTATTAATGGAGGCAACCGATTCTTCATTTGGACCAGAGGTAGGTAACGAAGTAGAAGTGTTAGAAGTAGATACATTATGTAAAGTAGAACTTGAAAGCCACAAAAGTAGTAGGCACATGAATAGGACGAACGAAGGCAACATACAATTGTTCGTCCTCCTTGTGCTTGCGCCACTTCTTGTAGAACTGCATGGCATTGAGAAAAGTCATTGGGAATCGCGCTTCTCATCCAAGAGGACGGGAAACTCGTTCCCTAGATTGTCTTTGACCATGACAAGTGACTCCTTCCACTTAGTCCATTCACATCGGGACTGCAACCAGCCCAAGCCAAGGGGACACTTGTCAAAGACAAAGAAGTTCAAGATGTGGATGACCGTCTTGTCCTTGTCAAAGGTAGTACGCACACCTTTGTTGCCTACTTGAGTCCGACAAGGGCTCTACAAAGCCACTTGCTTCATCCCCAAACCTATTTTGCGTATCCCTTGCGGTGACATAAAGTCAGTTATGGCACCACAATTAATCAAAACAAAGATAGCGGTGGTTTATGAAAAGTTTGAAGAAGATTAACTTCACTGCCTCTTGAGCACGCAAATGTTTCATCTCAGCCCAATGCTCTAGGTGATAGTGAAAGTCGACCTTCTCAGACTCCTCCCAAGGCTCAACATACAAAGCATGATAAACTTCATCCTTGGAATCAGCAGATGAAGGGGCTTCAAGATAGGAGTGTTGATCTGCGTCAGGTTTAGTCTCCCTTGCTGTAGAGGGTGCTGGTGTCCACTCTACGGCCGATTCAGGTTCCCCTGCGGCCTATAACAATCTTGGACTTTGTGATTCGGTTTCAGACAATGCAAGCATACTCCTTTCTTGAGTCTAATCCTCCAGTCATTTCAGTGACTCATAGGTCAACCCAAGGTTTGGTGGTTGCATCCTCCAGTTTCACTGGGATTTTGACTCCCTTGGGAAGTTGGATATAGTTCTTCCTTGCATTCCTGTTCGGTTCCTTTTCGTTGGCAGTCTTTTTAAAGGCAATAAATTTTTCCTCATCGTGGTTTGCGTCATAATCATGGTTGAAGAGGAACAGGCTGTGTCACGGTCCTGTTCTTGGTCTTCACCAAGAGCGGGGTCGTCTGCATAGGCCTGCTCGTCCACCTCCAACAGGTCATGCACAACAAAACGGTTGTTACCTCAAAACTGTCTGCCACCTATAGGCTTTTTGTTGCCTGCTGTGGAAACGAGGTCTGCTGCCTCGAGACTAACTACATCCTTCATTAAGGAAAACCAGTCAGCGTATCCAATGAAGTCCGTGCCTAGGCGATTTGTAAAGGTAGTGGGAACCACGCCTTTCACTACATCCAAACAAGATTCTTCGGTCAGTTCTAATCCGAGAGTGGCAAACATCTTGCTAACTTGCTAAGGTAGGTCTGAAGGTTTTTCATGGAGCTCGACCACTTGCCGCGTTTAATGTTGTCAAGCTGGCTAATTGCCCTTGCAACAACATGTGGATCCATGTATTTGATCAAGAGTTCTTCAAGGGTGGCAACTAGAGTGGCTTTAAGCCACTGTGTCAGATCCATCTCTGGGACCCCAACTCGTGTAGACTAGACTTCTAAGAAGACTCGTAACGGGCTCGACATTCATTCCCATGATCACAGATTGGGTCTTTGTTCGAGTTCCCAGAACCTCAAAATAAGCTCTCATGGAGTTGATCCAAGATTCAATATCTTCCTGGTCGTCATACTTACACGGTATCGCCTTTCGATCCACATAGGAATCGCCGTAGTTGGGACCAGCG